CTTGAATCACTCTATTTATTAAAAGAACCGCTTCAAAATCCGTTGCGTAGTTTTAAAGATTTAGTGATACATAGGGACAGACAGCGACAGCGACTTTATTTTACACTATGAAGAAAGAACTGTGAAAACTTTATCATCACGATAATCATCAGTTCTACCCTCCAGTTTATTGTACAGACTAGCAAGAAACTCGACTGAATTTGTTTTATTTTTAAATCAGTTTATTTACAATGTATATTTATATATGTATCTATGTCTAACATTAAATGAAAATCCCGTACATGAACAACTATTGCCATGCACGCTCGTCATTCAAGTAATCGTCTAGTGAGTAATAGGCTTTGCTCAGTGAATATGATTTAACAGATGTTTTGAATTTATTTAAGGGTAATTCCAATATATCCTTTGGTATCTTATTGTAAATTTTTATACCTATTCCCATAAAAGATCTATTGACTTTTTGTAAATGATACTTGGGGACAGCAAGCAGATGTTTTGAATTACAATTGGCATGGCGTTATCCTGTAATACCCGGGATACCACTCTAGCGTTGTAATTCCAAAGTATTAAGAAGTACCTGTAATACTGTAATTTTATTGCCTTATCGCTTGCTCCTGGATCTTCATGAGTACATGGTACTCGCTATGTAAAATCTGTTCTTTGAAGATAGAAGTTACGGAGTATATACGCTTTATAAAGTTAGATAAGTTTAACGTTAACAATTATATTCTAAAACGCATAATCTCGAATATGCTTGCAAGTAATATTGGATCTGTGAATATAATAGAATATTCTATATACTTTGAATGTAATTCAAATTCAATTTTAAAAATGATTTATTAATGTAGGACATTTCAGCTGCTTATGAACGTCAAGTTTTACATTATATTTTTTTTCCCTACCGTCCAGTACAGTATATAGATCCAATTGAGAAGAACTGGCAAGAAACTCAATTGAATTACTTTTTATTTTAAATCCAGTTTATTTACAATGCATAGGTATTTATATAGGTGTCTATGTCTAACATTAAATGAAAACGTGCATGAACAACTAATGCTCGTCATTCAAGTAATCGTTTAGTTATTTAACAGATGTTTTGAATTTATTTGGTAACTCCAATATATCCTTTGTATCTTATTGGCTAAAAGATCTATTGACTTTTTCTAAACGATACTTGGGGACAGCAAGTTTGTCTTTAAATCTAGTATTAATATTATGAATATTGCTGTTTTTTGGATATAAGTCAAGATTTTTATGAACATATAGGATATTTGAATATATAAATTGAGAAACAACGGTGAGAATATTTGCCTCTCTTAATGAAACTTGAAACAGTCATGCTCGCTTTAAAGTTCAAACTTGTGGCGGCGTGGTGGACCAGGACAATGTGCTCCCTCTAATATGGTTGAGTGCAATGGCTCAACCGTCATACTCGTGAACGGGTGCTGCTTATGGGAACTGGTCTGTTCAGGTTACGAACACCGATTAGACTTTTTGCTTTTGCAATAGCATATGTTGGCTGTCACTCTATTCTCCCAAATTTGAAATTAAAAATTAATCTTTATTATTGTAAACTTGTATAACATTAATTTGAAAAGAATACGAGCTGAGTTTCTTATCAGTTAACGGTCATAAGCGGCTAAAATTGTCTATACGAATAAATGATATTTGATGCTATTCAAAGAAAGAATTCAAATTCAAATTCAAAATATCTTTACTCATGTTCGTCAGTTCGGAATGATATCAAGATGAGAATATCTGACAAGAAACTCAGCTCGTAGCCAATGTCGATATAAAATAAAAGTTTTGAAATATGAAAGATCAGTTATCAGAGACAAAACCAAAATAAAATACAGGTTTTATCAATAACTAGCTACTCGCTCCGGCTTCGCACGGGTGTACATGTATCACTCTATCTATTAAAAATCGCTTCAAAATCCATTGCGTAGTTTTAAAGATTTAGGCATACATAGGGACAGACAGCGACATCGACTTTGCTTTATACTATGTAATGATGATAATAAGACTTTGCCTAAACACCATATCCAATATGTATACTGGATATCGCTGCATGTAGGGCCTCTGGATGGACAGAGACATAAATATATGAATTAAATATATAAAATTGTAAATTACTAACATAGTTAATAAGTTGTTTACTAACATAATATGGATGGATAAATATCCGAAATAAATGAAATAATAATAATAATAAAGCATCATAATATAATTCCGAGTAAAAAGATTGAATCAAAATCATTTTACATTTGAAATATTAGGAAGGGAAAAAACAAAGGTACAGGACGACGTCTTATAATAATGCTGAGATTTCAGCTATTATTACATAATTTTTCCTGAGTCAGCTTTGTGAATAATAAGCGTGAATCGGATTAAACTCAGAGTCTCGCCATCGGAACGGTTCTATCGCAAATAATCATATTTTATTCGTCCCCATGCTAGGACTTTCCCAGATTAGATTCCCAATATTTCTCTTATAGCTTCCGATTACGATCGCCTCCACTATGAATAGTTACGCAAGTTTCTTTGCCTATCTCGTCCATTTACACAAATAGTTCCATATTCTTATAGGCTATCCGAGAATTTAAATTGTAGATCTTTTTGGAGTGAATTTTGAAGCAGTTGATTTTGGGAGCGGTCCAATAGGCAAGGTTACAACGCTGAACCATTCATATGTAGATTGAAACATTTGGAAAGATAGTTTGGTCGTCATAGCATATATTTACGGTCCCCCAATGTACCCAACCCATAATGATATGGGATCGGGTACGTACCTGCGGGCCTGTCATACGATCGCGGCTCGATACCTTTCTCTCAAGGATACACGTCACTAGCTATTCAAGGTGAATTTCCAACAGATATGGGTTTACGTGGATATTTGATGTTACACTAAACTGCAAATATGTACCCCACTTAATTGCCTGTTGGCGTAACGTTAGACAAACATTTAAATAATATATATTCGTATTCCTCGTGTAAACAAATTAACGAACAAATATACGATCCGAAATATTAACGCGGACGAGACCCAATTATCGCATTTTGAATACAGACTAATTTGAATATATTCTCAATGAAATGGTAATTTGTTATTTAAGATATTTATGAAATAAAAAACAGTATGAATAAAGTTACCGCGAATAAAGTCGGCGAATTGGAGCTTTTAGGTTTATAATAAAATGAAGAAAACTCGTTACTCGTTGAGGACGTTCCGTTATCGCGGATTCACGCACTCGTGGCTTATCCAATCCGGTATAATTTCGCAAAGTTGTTCCGACAACACATTCAAACACGTAACTCCTGTTTTCGCATCTTATCATCTCGGAGCGACCCTCCAAACAAAAGCTTCGCCGTAGCATTGTCATCCGTTAACTGCGATCACAAGATTGTTCAACATCAGTGTAAACTTGTAAAAGAATATATTGTGATCATCATGTTTAATGGAGCACAATTTTATCCAGATAAGGCTGTTCAATCCGATCTTAAATGATGGGTTCTTATAAATGTAATGTATAATACATTTGGGATGTCCTCACTCCGTGCGGTTGTAACCGACGAGTCCCATTCTATGTTGTCTGCTCGTGACGTAAGGAGACTATTTGTCTTCGACCCCCGACCCGCGCAAAAACGGCGTCCCTTTTTTCTATCTTAACTTTTGCTAAGACCAAAACCAATTTACTCGGAGCGAAAACAATTCAAAGAGTTGTTTACGTCGAACAAACGCGAGTTATTATGGAAGTCACCGCAAGTACCAGAGTTTAATTAGAAAGTAAGTTGAAAACGCCGAGTTGAAACGCTTTCGGTGAAGATGCATCGGGGTTGTCGGTTCACCATAACAAGGTTACCCGCACGTATTACGCTCCTTTCTAATTGTTAATTTGATTTTTAGATCGGGGGTACGAAACAATTACTCTCCGGAGGCTTACCTTGTATCTACTCACAAATTATTTACTTTTATGAACTCTTGTTTGATGGGTCTTGAGGGAAAGCCTTCATTACTGAGGATGTAATGTAATAATATGGGAAGAAAGTATAGTAGATCAAGATTAATTACAATTATTATTTTAACATATATTAATTCTTTATTCTTTATTGTACACACACACATAGGAAAAAAATAACAGTAATATAGTAAAAGTATTGTACACGGGCGAGCTTATCTCTAAAAAGAGATTTCTTCCAGCAAACCTAGAAAATGTTATAGGATTATTTGGTCACTAGATCTCTAGATATTACTTAGAATTGACGCATGGTAATTCGGTTTATAGTTTATGATTACGAAAATTAAGAATTTTTATAACGCTATCAATCTTTCCCGGTTTTAGATAATGAAATGGCATATTCTAGGTTTTATTATTTAGATAGAAGGATATATTTATTTAAATATGAATATGTCAATATAACTATATTGTTTACATGCAATGCCAAAAGAGGGCACTGTACCAAAATTACATTGTGTTTTATACAAAACTCAATTTTTTTTACCATTAATTTTTGTAGCCCTCCTTTCGGTACCCCGTCTAATTCAAACGTGGATCGAAATTACGACGGCCTAAACCTAGTTTACCTAGCAGTCCCTCAGACTAAACTTATATATTTTAGTTCATTAACTAGGTTGCTGCATAATCATTCCACGGGTTTGAAATGCCATCTGCACTCGCCCCCTATTGTTCGGTGACGCTATAAAGGCCAGCTGCGTCTATCACAGTTTTAGAATAATAAAAAAGTAATATATCCTGGGACACATAGTAGAAGCGAAACCTCAAAGGACAAGTCTCTTTGTCCTACAACATGATAGCGGGCTCCCCATTCTGCACGCGACTGTAACGCTTTTTCCAGACCGAAATTTTTTAATACAGCCCGTCTAAATAGAAATTTCATTTCAAAAATTATACCAGTATTGGAACCGATAAATCTTTCCCCTTTCCCTTATAGTACCCTTGTAAGACGTTGTGGTTTTAACGTACAATTTCCGTTCACAGCCAAGCGTCGCGTGATGGCGCATGGAGTGCGCGCGGACGGCGTGGTGCGCGGTGCTGGTGCTCGCGTCCCTGGCGGCCGCCGGCCCTCGCTACAGCTCACGCATCGTGCACACGCACGCAGGTAGGTAACCTTCGATTGATACCTCCAATTTAAACAGGGATCGAAATTACGACGGCTGAGGTTCGAACCTGTGTAAGACTTAAGACGTATCCGTAAGGCAGGAGATGGCATTCGAGTATGGAGTATCATCTATACTCGCCCCCTATCGTCCGGTGAAGCTTTAAATGCCAGGTTCGTCCGACAGCTTGTAGTCCGAAAAAAATGCAGGTAACGTCTCAAACTGACCATCCAACACTATTTCTACCACTATTTTGATGATCTCTGTAGTCGTAGTTTGTTTAGCACTCCGACAGCTTGTAGTCCGAAAAAAATGCAGGTAACGTCTCAAACTGACCATCCAACACTATTTCTACCACTATACGTCGATATTCATCCGACTGTATAAATCTGGTTTTTTTTTATGGGTGATAAAGGAATGGTGCTCCCGCCTGCGCTAACGGTTTACGCTGGCGGGGCACCAGTGGATGATGACAAGATGAGCACGAGGTCAGGTCAGTTAGCTCATCGTGACAAATTCGCCAAGAATTTATCACGATGGTTTCCAGGGGGAACCGCGTGGAGGTCGACCTAACATTGCTAGCAATGGGAGTTACTAGTTCCCATTGCTAACAATCCCCTTCCCCCCTTATAAATCTGGGTTTTTTAATGTAATATTAAAGTATTTTACAAAGAAATAATCTGTCGTCTAGTACCCTTACACAAGCTCTGCTTAGCTTGGGACTAGATGGCGCTGCGTAAATTTTCCAAGGATAATATGATATATTACTATTAATAACTAGCTACTTGCCCCGGCGTCGCACGGATGTACATGTGTAAAATACATAATCACTCTATCTATTTAAAAAAACCGCTTTGGGACGGACAGAGCGACAGCGACTTTGTTTTATTGTATGTAATGATAATTACAGTATAATAAGTAAGAAGCATGCGATAATCAACATAGAAACCGCTACTGAGTGCGTAGCGGTTTCTATGTTGATTATCGCATGCCTCTTACTTGTTACACTGTAATTATCATTACATACTATAAAACAAACAAAGAGTTCTTACACCCATGTCATATAAATATTCGGATCACATCCATGTTATCCTTCGTAGAATTGATATCTAGGAAATATTGAATAACAATAAAAGATTGAATTTAAACAGATAGATAGTTACATTCTACGTCGAGAACTGTTGAGTCACATCTGCTACAATGCAGAAACGATTGCCACATTTTTCAGAACGATCTGTAAATAAAAGAAGACAAAATATATAAAATTGTACCAATTTGGTTCAGATGGAACTATAAATATTGTTTATTTGACTTTAAAATAGAATATTTGCAATGACTACCTCGGTGGTCTACAGGTTCAGAATATCGCTTTGCTTGTGATTGAGGGTTCGATTCCTCGCACGTCCAAATTTGTATTCGTGATTATTTGTATCAGTCTCAGTGTTTACTTATTACACACTAGCTGTAACCGCAATTACGTCGGATTTTAAATTTCTTTTCTAAAATAAAAGATTTTTTCTAAAATAAAGTAGACTAAGTTACTCCTTATTACATCAGCTACCTACCAATAAAATTGGTCAAGCCATTTCAGAGATTAGCCGGAACAAACAGACCGACAGACAGTCAGACAAAAATTGTTAAAAGTGGTTTTTTGGTGTATGTACTGTATTTATATTCATATGCATGTAGTAAAAAACGGTTATTTCAATATTACAAACAGACACTCCAATTTTATTTATATGTATAGATTTCGCTTTAAAATAGAATAGTTACAGTGAATGATAATAAGAAGTACATAACTTAGGCTACTTTTATTTAGAAAAAAATCTTTCATTTTAGAAAAATAAAGTTAAATTCCATGTGGACGAAGCCGTTGGAACAGCTAGTCTTAGTAATATTACTTTTTTTTGTTACTCTTTCACGCAAAAGCTACTGAACAGATTTTTATAAAACTTTAAGTAATATAGCTTATGCATCAGAATAACACAAAGTTTATATTCTATATTGAAATTAAACGCAGGTGAAACAGCGGGACCAGCTAGTATGAATATATTATTATTATTATAAATAGAGATCTCCAAAAGAAATTTTGATCTATACCAAATAATTTAAGTAATGATTGACAACACTTCCAAATACATCCTTACGTCTCTATAAATAAAATTCATATTGAATTGCTTCAAAACGAAAAAAAACGTTCTATCGATGTTGCCATCACGTCAAGTGTACGAGCTGTCTCATCAAATAATCCTCAGCGAACATGACAGGAATCTATTAAACGTATGACGTTCTTGTCAGTTCTTTCCTTTTCGACAATGATACACACGTCAAACCACAATCCAGGTAAGTACTGCGTCCAACAGGTTGTAGTCCGAAAAAAAATGCAGGTAACGTCTCAAACTGACCATCCAACACTATTTCTACCACCATTTTGAAGTTCTCTGTGGTCTAGCAGATTAGCACACCGCTTTACCTCGATCGCGGGTTTGATTCATCGGACGTACGTCGGTATTCATCCGCCGAATCGCATCTTATTGTATGTATAAATTTGGGTTTTTTTTTATGGATGATAATGAAATGGTGCTCCCGACTGCGCTAACGGTTTACGCTGGCGCGGCACCAGTGGAGGATGATAAGATGAGCATAAGGTCAGGAATAGAATAGAATAGAATAGAAAATCATTTATTCAAATAAACTTAATTTAAGCACTTCTGAATAGTCAACATTTTTTTAAATCTACCGCTTATTCGGAAAGCTGTCTCATCACAAGTAGAATAAGCAAGAAACTTGTCTGTTGCTCTTTTAAACAATCCTTGTAAGTTCACATTTTTCAAGTCGAAACGTGTGAATACAAACTACCAACCAGCACTAATTTATTTAGGCTCAAATATAAAAACACAATAAGATTAAATCAGTCGTAGTGACAAGAGCAAACCAGTCCCTACAAGCAGCACTGGTTCACGAGAATGACGGATGAACCAGCCATCACTGCGCTCGACCATATTTTAGGGAGCCCAATGACCCGGCCCACCACGCCGCCACATGTCTGGACATTTTAGTGAGCATGACTACTCATTCCACTCGACCACGTCACAGCTACAAGTCAGGTCAGTTAGCCCATCGTGACAAATTCGCCAAGAATTTATCACGATGGTTTCCAGGGGGAACCGCGTGGAGGTCAACCTGATATGGTCATTGCTAGTAATGAGGTCATGAGTCCACATTACTAACAATCAGCTACCCATTATAAATCTGGGATTTTTAATGTAATATTAAAGTATTTTACAAAGAAAAAAAATCTGTTGTCTAGTACCCTTACACAAGCTCTGCTTAGCTTGGGACTAGATGGCGCTGCGTGAATTTTCTGCTTGTAGGGACTGGTCTGCTCTTATCACTACGACTGATTTAATCTTATTGTATATTTATATTTGACCCAAAAAATTAGTGCTGGTTGGTAGTTTGTATTCACACGTTTCGACTTGTAAATGTAAACTTACAAGGATTATTTAAAAGAGCAACACACAAGTTTCTTGCTCGTTCTTCTTGTGATGAGACACCTTTCCGAACGAGTGGTAGATAAAAAACAAATTGTTATGACTATTCAACAGTGCTTAAATTAAGTTTATTTGAATAAAATGATTTTCTATTCTATTCTATTTTTTCCAGGGATAATATGTTATTATTATTAACTAGCTACTCGCCCCGGCTTCGCACGGGTGTACATGTATTATATATATAAATATTCGTCTAGAATCACTCTATCTATTAAAAAACCGCTTCAAAATCCCTTGCGTAGATTCAAAGATTGTCAGTTCTTTCCTTTTCGGCAATGAAACACACGCCAAACCACAATCCAGACATAATTTCAGAAGGATCCAGAGAGTCCAATCAGACCGGGCCTAAGGGATCCCGGAACATCGCGACCAAATGACATCGTTTGGTTTTGTAAACTCCCAATTGGAATGTAGATGAAATTAATTATTGTTGAGATCCCTTTAGAGGAGAAACGGGTTGGAAGGTAAGCTTTCAAACACCAATGCATAATCAAATAGTAGAAATCTTAATACATCATGGAATTTGTTGAATTAAAAGCTTAAATTAAGCTTAAAAGCTTTGGAGAAATGGGACGTATATTTTATATCCTTACTAGCTGTCACGGCAAACGTTTTGCCTTATAAATGAATAACGCTATAAAAAATAGGGGGTGATGATAGAAGGGTGAAAATTTAGGGTTGTATGTATTTTTTCATGACAGATAAGAAAAAATATAAATAAATATTTGCCAAAAATATGAAAAAATAATTTTAGGGGTCCATTATCACATAAGGGTATGAAAAATAGATAGTAGCTGATTCTCAGACCTACTGAATATATATAACTCAAAGGTGACTGACATAGTGATCAATCAACGCACAGCCCAAACCACTGGACGGATCGGGCTGAAATTTGGCAAAATCGGTCCAGAGATTTCAGTGATTAACCGCAACAAACAGACAGACAGACAGACAAAAATTGTAAGAAATGTTATTTTAGTGTATATACCGTATTTATATTCATATGTATGTAGTAAAAAACGGTTATTTCAATATTACAAACAGACACTCCAATTTTATTTATATGTATAGATGAACTATTAGTTACATTGTAAGGGTTTCGAGCACGACCAGACGCCGTTAGTGCCCTTATTCTAGATTATATTCTATAATTTTCTAGCAGTTGCGTGACGCCTAGCAATATTGCTACCCACCTTCATGAAAGAGGACTACTGGCCGAAAGGTGTGGTGTATCGGCGCTACCGCGGCAGATTGCCGTCTTCAGTGCCGTGATCACACAGACAATATAGTTGTATTGGTTTTTATTATATTATATGTATGTTAGTCTATAAGGTATTTATAATATGGGCCTAGTTGCCTGAAATAAATGAATAAATAAAAAATATTACGTGCGGGTAACCAACTATATCTTATATATAAAATCTCGTATCACAGTTTTCGTTCCCATACTCCTCCGAAACGGCTTGACCGATTCTCATCAAATTTTGTGAGCGAATTGAGTATGTCTGAGAATCGGCTAACATCTATTTTTCATCCCCCTAAATGTTAGGGGTAGTCCACCTCTAAATTTTTTTTTATTTTAAGGCAAAACAACGTTTGCCGGGACAGCTAGTAATTTATAATTTTTTTGATATAATAATATTAGTAACAGTTTACCGACTATATTGCTCACAAATTATGTGACAAGTCGATAACTGAACATTCAATTGTTAGAAGCGCAGATTATAATAATAATAACGGTCGGTGAACGGTCTTATCCCAACCAGTCTGGAACAACATCTCAGACGGTTGGGATTCCGAGGCGGCTCACTCCCGGGAAAGATGCAGAAAGCGGTGCTGTTAGATTCTGCCCGCATTGTACGCCGGTTTCTCTCCCTGGGGCCCTGAACCCCGGCCGACTGTGCTTCTGCCGGGGGTAAGTTGCTCCTTAAGAGGGAGATGAGAATTTTTGTATAATGATAATAATAATGTGTGCAAAAAAACAGCAAAAGCTGATAGAGTGAGATAGAGAGAAGAAAAATGCAATAATAATAATAATAATAATCTCAAGACAATTCACACAGCGCCATCTAGACCCAAGTTAAGCTAGCTAAAGCTTGTGTTATGGGTACTAGACAACTGATACAAATAATTAGATATATTTTTTTTTTGTTTTCGTAAATACATACATATTATACATAGAAAACACCCAGACCGACACAAACAATCATAATCATGAATACAAATGTTTGTGCCGTGCGAGGAATCGAACCCGCGACCATCGGACGTAAAGCGGTGTGCTAAACCACTAGACCACCGAGGTCGTCAAAATAATAATAATAATATAATAATAACAATTAATACAAAATTGTTCATAAAAACAATTACAAATTCCAATTAACTTTATTCATGTAGGTCTATTACAGACTCCTATGATATATCAAATCTACCGTCATTTGGCACTCTGAACAGATTGTAGATTTGATATATCATAAGAGTCTATAATAGACCTACATGAATAAAGATGTTTTGAGATTTACCTTGATTTTTTTTCCATTTATTTGTTTCACAGTTTTTTTATACGTATATATTTGGATTTATTTTAAATCTTAGGCTCTCGCTGCAATTTGTTTTAATAGAAGTTTTTAATAGAAGTTTTCACTGTAGGGATCGACTTTGATTAAACGATAATCGTAGAATATAAAATTGTAGAGTTTACTATTCTATTAAACTTAAAACCTAATTGAACTGGTTATCAATTCAGTCTGAGAGACTACTCAATTAACCCACTAAAGATTTATCTTATCTTATCATTGAGAATATCATCAATAACCAAAATTCGGGTATGATTAATATAAATGTAGGATTTCGTTATAAAAATACAGTTTCGTATTTTTTTTCTATTCTATACGGTAATCTCTAAATATAAATAAAATTGGAGTGTCTGTTTGTAATATTGTAATAACCGATTTTTACTACATGCATATGAATATAAATACGGTACATACACCAAAATAACATTTTTTTACAATATTTGTCTGTCTGTCTGTTTGTACCGGCTAATCTCTGAAATGGCTGGACCGATTTTGACGGAACTTTTTTTGGCAGGTAGCTGATGTAATAGGGAGTAACTTAGGCTACTTAAATTTTGGAAAAATAAAGTTAAATTCCACGCGGACGAAGTCGCGTGTATAGCTAGTAGAAAATAATATTTGTACTATTGAGGAGAAAATATTCAATCGAAATAAAGTTAATTTTGAGTTATTGATATCAATACAAACGGATAATAGCAAATCATTAGTAATGAATTCAGAATTGCTGACGTCATAGCAGTCCTTGGTAAAACAGGATCGTAGCGTATATGTATACTGGCTGTACCTGCGAGATCGTTCGCATGGAATACAACTTTATTTTTTTAAATAATAGTAGCCTAAGTAACTCCTTATTACATCAGCTACCAGCCAAAAAAAGTCCCGTCAAAATCAGTCCAACCATGTCAGAGATTAGCCGGAACAAACAGACTGACAAACAAAAATTGTGAAATGTTATTTTGGTGTACGTATATACCGTATTTATATTACGCGTGTAGTAAAAAACGGTTATTTCAATCTTACAAACAGACACTTCAATTTTGTTTATATGTATAGATATATATGGGACACAGTCACCTAGATACATCAAAATAATAATTGCATTTAATAATGTCTAGTAAGACAAATTCAATATTGTCTACTAAGCACTGCTGTGTCTAAACTGTGTCATACATTTTCCTATTGTTATTTAGTATATAAGATCATTATTTCTATGTACATATTGTCAGTTTATTATCATCTGTAATATACATCGTCTCGACCAACAACATAGTATCACTCACCCGCAACAATATATAAAGTGGGTGACAATGTTATATTATAAATTGATTGCTATAGTAAAACTGAATTCAAAATGAAGCCCAATGATTCAATTGGCTTTAGGTACTCCAAGTTAAGTATTCGAGTTTGTCGGACTAGTTTCAGACTAAATAGAAATCCACGTTCATGAGCACGTTCCTTGATCGTGTAGTGAATATCAGTACAATCTACAGAAAGACTACATTATTCGAACCTGAGGATATATAGGTGATCAAAGTTAATAACAAATTCAAATTCAAAATATCTTTGTTCATGTAGGTCTATTACAGACTCTTATGATATGTCATATCTACCGTCAGTTCGGAATGATATCGAGATGAGAAGAACTGACAAGAAACTCAGCTCGTATTTTTTTCAAACAATAGTGGAACATGTTTATAATAAATATAGTTTTTAAAATTCTAATTTGGGAGAATAGAGTGACATCCAGCATATGCTATCGTAAAGAACAAAAAAAATTAATCAGTGTTCACAACCTGAACAGACCAGTCCCCACAAGTAGCACCCGTTCACGAGTATGACGTATGAGCCAGCTATCATTGTACTCAACCATATTTGAGGGAGTACATCGACCCGGCCCACCACGCCGCCACAAGTTTGAACTTTATAGCGAGCATGACTGTTTCAGGTTACTCCACTACGTCAATTATATTATTTATAGCATAGGCTGTAATAACATTGTAGAATGTTCTAGAATAGAAATAACGATTGGCCACTTTTAAGGAGCAATTATTTGTGTCTATAGCTATACTATGTTGGAATTTTCGACTAACTAATGTCTAACTTTCCAGCAATTACATTTTATTCTATAATAATAATGATATTTACATAACCTAATTGTACAACTAAGAACCTAAAATTAAACAGCTTAAAAAGTATAATATAATAACTAAAATATATTATTAGTTCGGTATAAATTGAGAAGGTACTTTTTTTTTTTTATAGGCCATTTTATTTACAATGTATTTTTATATAGGTGTCTATGTCTAACATTCAATGAAAAGTTCCTTACTCAGTAAATAAGATACTGGCAGCGTAAATTTTTTACCTATTCTTTGAATAGCTAGACTAATATTGCTGTTTTTCTTTGTCCGAGGTAGCTGCCAGCTATTCGGTCTTTTGTGATGTCGACTAACCTTTTTGTTATTTTCTTGAAGAGTCTTATGACCCTAATAGCTGACCCTAAGGACCAAGGGTCTCGACACCGAATGGGACAAAATCATATTCGGAGCCTAGACCCCTGTATTTACATGTTTTGGCTTTTTCAGCCGCTTCACATGCCGCACCAGCTCTGTTGTTGGTTCCATGTAGATGGGATGGGGCCAGCGTGTCTGCGCAGGTTGCATCCCACACCAGCACCCGGCCCATCTTCCATGGAATCAAACTCATACCGTCCGGTCTATGTTGGAATGTAGATTCAGTTAAGGAGAATCTCCACACGCTGTAATCTCGCACACCAGTTGTACTTAGGGTTGCCGACTCTCGAAGGGACCAGCCCGGGCTGGGAGTTAGAGGGGGGACTGAGGAAGAATATCATAAATAAATTTAAAATTTATATTTATTTTGTTCCTGAACAGCAGAGGATTGGGAACCCTAGTTGCCAACCATACTTTATAAGAACGTATCCTACTTTATTTTCAGCAGTTATACTTTTACATACAAATAAAGTATGCAAAAATACTTTATTTATTATACTTTATTCAACCTTTACTGTGATGCGTAAAACAAAGTTAGTAACATTGTAAGTTCAATACGACCATAGAATGTTCTAGAATAGAAATAACGATTGGTCACTTTTAATGAACAATTATTTGTGATAGTTAATTTTAAACTTTCGTGTTTAATATACATTATTTTAATTATTAACCGGGTCTTAACACTACATGCGCCTAAGATCCTCTCTACTGATCGCCACTGTTACCCACGAATGGTCCGGGAGGCGATTGAAATTAAGAAACATCCCAATTTCAACAGAGAGGATGGCTTAAAATTAACATCTGTGTGGAATCCAGTCATAAATAAATTGAAGCAAAGTTCAGTAATTCGGGCTGAAATTTGGCAATCAGGTAGATGTTATGACGTAGGCATCCGCTAAGAAAGGATTTTAATTAATTCTACCCCTAAGAGAATAAAATAGGGGATGAAAGTTTGTATGAAACTTTGTCAATTTTAAACCGATCGGGCTGAGATTTTGCATACATAAAGCTACTATGACATAGGCATCCCCATGGAAAGGATTTTCATAAATTCCACTCCTAAGGGGATAAATTGACGCGAGAGAAACCGCTGGCAAAAGCTAGTATTATATAATTTTGGTAAATAAATAAATGATTATGATTATTATTATGTACTTTTAATAGGCGTCCATAGGCTACGGTAACCATTTACCATCAGATGGGCCGTATGCTTGTGTGCCACCATAGTAGTATAAAAAAAAAAAAAATTACACATGTGTCTAATATCAAGATTTTGCTTTAACAGGAGCTATCAGAGGTATAATAGTGGAACCAGCTTCTCGCCGCCTGGAGCCAGTGGAAGTATTCTGGGGAGTACCATATGCGGGTCAGCCTCCTCGGCTGGGACCACCGCCTCCAGCGCCAAGCTGGCCCGGGACAAGACTCGCCGACGCATTTGCTCCAGTCTGCCCACAACGCTATCCAGACATATCCAACAAGTAACGTACCAACTACATTTGCTACATCCTTTTTTCTTACATTATTCAAAGATGCTCAAAAATCTTGTATAGTAACTTTCTTATAATAATAATTATAGTGTTCACTTATTTGTTGTTTATGTCTTACAACAACTTACATACAATGTAAGTTGTTATCGACATAATATCCGATCGTTAGCCATAGCTCCACGTCTTTACTCCGCGGCGCTTGCGCAGGGAATCCCTCCCCTCTTGCGCACGGCGGCTCGTGTACGCTCGGCTCGAGACGATAGATAATAAACTGCTAGTGTTTCCACATACACAACAATAATAATAATATCAGGACAATTCCCACAGCGCCATCTAGACCCAAGTTAAGCTAGCTAAAGCTTGTGTTATGAGTACTAGATAACTGATACATATACATAGATATTTTTTTTGTAAATACATACATATTATACCTACATAGAAAACACCCAGACCGATACAAACAATCATACTCATGAATACAAATGTTTGTGTCGCGCGAGGAATCGAACCTGCGACCATCGGTCGTAAAGCGGTGTACTAGACCGCTAGACCACCGAGGTCGTCATTATTATCTTATAAAGATATAGAATAAAGATATTTTACCGACAATGTAAGAACATTGTCGGTAAAATATCTTTATTCTTGTAATATCAACAAACAAACTAATAAAATCGGACGTACTTGTATATAGTCTGTGGAGATAAAAAAACTTTGATGTTACAAATACTTGACGTTCATATACGGCTAAAATGATCTACAGCAATAAATGATATTTGATTTGATTCAAAGAAAGAATTCAAATTCAAATTCAAATTCAAAATATCTTAATTCTTGTAGGTTTATTGCAGTCTTTTATGATATATCAAATCTACCATCAGGATTGATTTCGAGATGAGAAGAACTGACAAGAAACTCAGCTCATATTCTTTTCAAATAAATGTTGTACATGTTTACAATAATACAGATTCATTATAAATTCAAATTTGTGAGAATAGAGTGACCACCAGTGTTCGTAACCTGAACAGACCAGTCCCCACAAACAGCACCCGTTCACGAGTATGACGAATATGGTGATTCTTAAAGGAAACTATTAAAATATGATAATTGTGCACCCGCCTGCGTTGGTATACGCTGACGGGCCACCAGTGGAGGATGATAAGATGACTATGAGGTCAGTAGTCCAACGTGACAAATTCACGAGGATTACAAAAGAGACAGTCAGTCTTCATTTTAGTAAAATACTAGCTACTCACCCAGGCTTCGCATGGGTGTACATGTATTATATATATAAACCTTTCTCTAGAATCACTCTATCTATTAAAACCCGCTTTATAATCCGTTCGGTAATTTTAAAGATTTAAACATACATAGGGACAGACTGTAACAGCGACTTTGTTTTATAAAATCTAATTCGTAATCTGAACTGACCAGTCCGCACAAGCATATATACTTTTACAATTTTATAATCTTCTATTCGTACAAAGATCCACAATGTTTGGAATTACAATTTATACAATTGGAAATATATTGTGTGTGTGTGTGTGTGTGTGTGTGTGTGTGTGTGTGTGTGTGTGTGTGTGTGTGTGTGTGTGTGTGTGTGTGTGTGTGTGTATGTGTTAAGAGAAGAAGAAGGAGAGATAAATATTAATACCAATAATAATAGTTCTTTATCTAGCCATTTCAAAATAATCTTTTTTATATCAGATTATATATATCTTTTACAATTTTATAAAGTATAAGGATAACATGAACCGGATAACATGAAGCGTTCTGAAGTTATTGATTCTCGTGACATTGTTACAGAAGTGCAACATTATCGAAAATGCCTCTGGGCCTGTACAACGAGCTGAAAGCCACTATTCCCCTCTTGGTGAATCAAAGCGAAGACTGCCTCAACCTCAATATTTATGTACCCGGTAGCGGTAAGTGTTCCACATATTTATATTTATTGTAAGTACTGTTTAAATGATGTTATTCATTGTTCTTTAAACTCCATCTCCTTTGTTTTTAGGTTCACTTGTTTCTTTAAAGATTCTTTGAAGTTAGCTATTTGAATATTATAATAATAATAATAATCACCCTTAGCTGCCATCTTAAATATCGTACAGTCCGAAAATTTCTCAAATAATAATAATATATTCAAAAAGTTATAATAATAATAAGTTAAGTACACACACACTCACACAAACACACGCGCACACACACATACACACACACATACATAATCTGGAGAAAACCAGCAAAAGCTGAGAAAAAATTAAAAATAATAATAATAATAATAATCTCAGTACAATTCACACAGCTGTTGGCCGTAGCTGGCCTTTACAGCTTCACCGGACGTTATGGGGCGAGTGCAGATGGCACTCCAAACCAAGGAAGGACTTATGGAGCGGCTGAAGGCCAACTCCTGCCTGACGGATACGACTTTAGTCTGAGGGCACCACTAGGGGTTCGAACCTCGGCTCAGGCCGTCGTAATTTCGATCCCCGTTTGAATTGGACGGGGGATCGATCGGAGGGGCGCCCGGGGGCGCCGGTGTGGAGCGCCCGGGCGCGCGAATTCACACAGCGCCATCTAGACCCAAGTTAAGCTAGCTGAAGCTTGTGTTATGGGTACTAGATAACTGATACAAATACTGATACATATTTCTTTTTCGTAAATACATACATAGAAAATACCCAGACCGATACAATGAATCATACTCATGGATACAAATGTTTGTGCCGTGCGAGGAATCGAACCCGCGACCATCGGTCGTAAAGCGGTGTGCTAGACCGCTAGACCACCGAGGTCGTCAGTCATATTTAATGTAATTTTGGTAATACTGCTTTTATATCCATTTCTTCTTATACCGATTCAGCTGCATTTTAGGACAATTGAAAATGTTCATGCAAAAATATGGTCACTAAGATATGGAATTCACTTTTGGCAAATTTCTATAACAATTATTTATGACTAGCTGTTCCCGCTACTTCGTACGCGTGGAATTCAACTTTATTATTCTAAAATAAAAGTAATCTAAGTTACTCCTTATTACAACAGCTACCTGCCAAAAAAGTCCCGTCAAAATCGGCCCAGCCATTTCAGAGATTAGCCGGAACAAACAGACAGACAAACAAAAATAAAAAAAAAATGTTGTATGTATCGTATATATATTCAGATGCATGTAGTAAAAAACGGTTATTTCAATATTACAAGCAGACACTCCAATTTTATTTATATGTATAGATTTCGCTTTAAAATACAATAGTTACAGTGAATGAAAGTAAGGAGTAACTTAGGCTACTTTTATTTTAAAAAAACGCTTTCATTTTAAAAAAATCCATGTGGACACTCAAGCAGACACTCCAATCTTATATGTATAGATTTCGTTAAAGTATAATAAATTAATTAGGAGCGCGTGGCGTCGAAGCGCCGTACGCCGTGGTGGTATGGGCGGGCGGCCCGTCCCACGAGTGGGGCTCCGGCAACGCATTCGACGGCGCCGTGCTCGCTGCGCGTGCGCATCTCCTCGTGATTACTATTAACTATAGACTAGGTTTATTAGGTATACTATTTACTTCTCTCACATTATTTTTATCATCTTTCTGTCTTTCTTCTATTAATTTGATATTGATTCATTGCGTGTTGAATTTGTCGTATATCATCAGCCACCTGTTTAACGTCAGTTCTCTTTAAAATAGAAATTAAATAAATTTCAAAATATCTTTATTTATGTAGGTCTATTACAGACTCTTATGATATGTCAAATCTACAGTCAGTTCGGAATGATTTCGAGATGAGAAGAACTGACAAGAAACTCAGCTCGTATTCTTTTCAAATAAATGTACATGTTTACAATAATACAGATTCATTATATATTCAAATTTGGGAGAATAGAGTGACCACCAGCATATGCTATTACAAAAACAAACAGTCTAATCAGTGTTCGTAACCTGAACAGACCATAAGCAGCACCCGTTCACGAGTATGACAGACTGGGAATTTTGTTCCAACTGCACAAGTATATACTGACATCAATGCTTTTTTAAATAGCTTACTTGTTTGATAATACGGTTTATCTACAACTGATTATTATTCTTCTTTCTATAAATTACTAGCTGACCCCGCAAACTTTGTTTTGCCATATAAATTAATAACGCTATAAAAAAATAAGGGTTGGTGATAGATGGGTGAAAATTTAGGGTTGTATGTATTTTTCAATGACACATAATAAAAAAATATAAATAAAAAATGTTGGCCAAAAAATTAAAAACAACTGTTAGGGGTGGACAACCCTTATCACTTAGGGGTATGAAAAATATCAGACCTACTGAATATGCATATAAAATTTCATAAAAATCGGTCATACCGTTTCAGAGGAATATGCTAACTAACATTATGATACTAGAATTTTATATATAAGATTTTCTCCATCCAGGTTATCTTACAAGTGGTCTGAAGTCGGATGAAGTGCAACAAGCTGGAGGGGCTGCGGTTCTTGATGTAGCTGCTGCTTTATCGTGGGTGCAGCTCAATGTCGCTGCCTTTGGTGGAGACCCTCGTCGGGTCACGCTTGCTGGCCATGCTGCTGGTGCAGCGTTGGCGAATGCCCTGCTCATGATGCCAAATAGTAAAGGTAAATGAAACCCAAGGACTAGTACTTGATAGGTGTATATTCCGTTGTAAGAATATATTCCTCTCTCTGATTACATTTTTTTTTCGGACTACTCTAATGCTGTTGGCCGTAGCTGGCCTTTATAGCTTCACCGGACGTTAGGAGGCGAGTGCAGATGGCACTCCAAACCCGCGGAAGGACTTATGGAGCGGCTGAAGGCCAACTCCTGCCCGACGGATACGACTTTAGTCTGAGGGCACTACTAGGGGTTCGAACCTCGGCTCAGGCCGTCGTAATTTCGATCCCCGTTTGAATTGGACGGGGGATCGATCGGAGAGGCGCCCGGGGGCGCCGGTGTGGAGCGCCCAGGCGCGCGCAGGCGCCCGGTTGAATGCGCGATATTGTGTGTTTGAGGTCGTCGTCTTCGCCGGCGAGGACGGTGTCGTGTGTGTGTGTAAAAGTGTGGTCGGGGTCGAACGGTTGGGCCCGTGGGGAGGTTACCTGCCGTTATGGGGTCGTCGGGGTCAAAGAGAACGTGCCTCGGGCGACGTTGTCGCGTATATCGGACTCTGATTACAAAACGTGCTATAACTTAAGACCTAATGCAAAAATATCTTGCCACCGCGATGTAGAAATTATACATAAATGAGACAGCGACATCTAGTTTCATTTTTGGAACTATTAGGTACTACGACTAAATATTAGATTAAACAGTGATTAAACGTAATATTTAATATTTGGGTTAATGAAATTATATTAAGTCACAAGACACACACTAAGCATGAATTTAAAACAATAAAGTAAATTTAGAACCTGATATAATCAATATAAGTAGAAATATTGACAAGAAATTGTCTATTAGAAATATTGTGTTGATGTGATCAAAAGTTTAAAATTGTTCACGAAATTTATGAATCGATTTTTCGTCTTTGTTGTAAAGGTTTTGTATTAATGTATTAATGCTTTTTATTGCTCTTTCTTGTCATTACTATTACGCAACCTCTAGTGCATAATTAGGGCTCGACTACTTATAGTGTTGTATATAAAGTGACATTAAACCTTCAAATACTCTTAATACATTAGTAACGCGATCTCATGCAGGTCTGGCATCTCGTGTGCTGCTATTGAGTGGTTCGGCTTTAAGTCCAACTGCTCTAGCACCTGATGCTGCACTGGCACGAGAGCATACAGTTCAGGCATTACGCTGCACCCCTGACTCCAGCACTGACGAGAATTGGTAACGTATCAGCTTGATCGTCATCATTATTTCAGGATCGTGTAATTCTAATATAAATTAAAAAATCATTTATTTATGTAGGACATTTTAGCGGCTTACAAACGTCTTTTTTTATTATATATATTTTCCCTGCCGTCCAATTCAGTATATAGACCTGGTGTCTAAGGTACAGGCTATGACTCAATGTGGGCTCAGATTTCCGAAAGTAAAAGCCTAAGATTATGTTGTTCTGTTAGTAGCAGTCTTCATACATTGGCACTATGATTGCACTATGATTTAAGATTCTTTAACTACATAAACAAGTAATAATAATAATAATAATAATCTCAGGACAATTCACACACCGCCATCTAGTCCCAAGTTAAGCTAGCTAAAGCTTGTGTTACGGGTACTAGATAACTGATTTTTTATTCGTAAATACATACATATTATACATAGAAAACACCCAGACCGACACAAACAATCATACTCATGAATACAAATGTTTGTGCCGTGCGAGGAATCGAACCCCTGACCTTCTACGTAAAGCGGTGTGCTAGACCGCTAGACCACCGAGGTCGTCTCGAGTGAGCTATCGTTAGTTATATAATTTATAATAATCTTTTATTCATCATCATAGTACAAAAAAATATATAAAAATAATATTTCGCTATGAGCTGAAAGGGCCTCCACTCAGCTGGTGCCGCAGCGTGTCACTGCAGCTCTGATTTTCATGTAATTTAGCCACTAAACAATTAGTTACATGCTGTGTTATGGTGTGAAAGGTGAGATTTATCGGTGAAACAGGATGTTAGGATATAACACCTAAGTCCTTAGAAATAAGGTCGTATATCTCTTATGAATTTTACGCAACATTTACTATTTCCATTTTGGCGAGCAGTCAGCTTGTTTGGTATAATAATAATTGTTTATATGCTCTGATAAATTCCATTTCTTTGATCAGGTTAGTGGAATGTATTCGCACTCGGCCACTTGTTGCCCTACTCGCTGTCGAAGCTCCTAGAGCCAGATTCTTAGCTGGTTGGGCTCCTTCGGTACCACTTCAGAAAGATTCCAGCTTAAACCAAGCACCAACCAAAGCTTTACACGCCAGTGAAGCATTTCTTGACTGCGCTTTGGCTATAGTTGTAGCCACTACTGAGAGTTACCAATTTTTCAACGAAGACGATATACGACACGGTTTTGAGGAAGAGCACAGGTATTTATAAACATTCTAATAGGTTTATTATTCTCAGAAAAAAATCTTAAGATTTGGATAAAATTATGTGTTTATAAAAATATGGTTTTGAAATTTCTCTGAAAAAACAAACAAATTATATAGAATTTAGATTTGTTAAGGTTGTCCTGGAAAAAATTGTACCCGACCAGTTACTCTTGGATATATCATTTAACGTAACATATCATCATTGCCTTGCCTTTATCCCATTATTTGGGGTCGGCGCAGTATGTCATTCTCTTCCACTGCTCTCTATCAGTCGTCATATCTAAACATACTCTTCTTTTATTCATCATCTTTCACACAATCCATCCATCTTTTCTTAGGGCGTCCCCTCCCTTTACATCCATGTATTAAAACAAAATAGCGTTACAAAGCTATATTATCTATTTACCATAAAATTATTTATCGTCTCCAATTGAACATAATTTAAATCTAACAATTGAAAATAACGCCGAGCACAGCTCTCGCAAATACTTCTACAGATATCTTACATTGTAGAAATCGTATTCTGCGCACGTACGTTCGCAACGTGTACCGATACCATCGCAATGAGATCTTCGCTGCAATCCGTAACGAGTATACGGACTGGGAGAAACCTATACAGCATCCGATCAATATTCGCGACGCAACGCTCGAGTCGCTGAGCGACGCGGCGGTCGCGTCGCCTGCGCTCCGTGTCGCCCAGCTGCACGCGCGGAGAGGCGCCAGGACCTACTTTGCGCATTTTGCACATCAAAGCAAAGATGCTGACTACCCTCAGGTATGGCATATTACTAATCTATTAACTATTTAATCAGAGTTTTTTTTTTGGACTACTCTAATGCTGTTGGCCGCAGCTGGCCTGTACAGCTTCACCGGACGATAGGGGGCGAGTGCAGATGGCACTCCAAACCCGCGGAAGAACTTATGGAGCGGCTGAAGGCCAACTCCTGCCTGACGGATACGACTTTAGTCTGAGGGCACCACTAGGCGCAGGCCGACGTAATTTCGATCCCCGTTTGAATTAGACGGGGGATCGATAATCAGAGGTGTAATAATCTTATATATAAAATTCTCGTGTCACAGTTTTCGTTCCCATACTCCCCCGAAACGGCTTGACAGATTCTCATGAAATTTTGTGAGCGTATTGAGTAGGTCTGAGAATCGGCCAACATTTATTTATTTATATAACTTCAATGCACAAAATACCAAGGTCTTTTACCTTGATATTTTGTGCATTCAAGTTATAGACATTAGATTTCTATCTACCTACATAATAATGAATTCATTTTTAAGTATTTATTATGAACTAGCTGTACTTGCGAGTTTACGTTTAGTCCACGTGGAATTTAACTTAATTCTTCTAAACTAAAAGTAGCCTAAGTTACTCCTTATTACATTAGCTACCTGCCAAAAAAAGTCACGTCAAAATCGGTTAAACTATTTCAGAGAGTAGTCATAAGAAACAGATGGACAGACAGACAAAAATTGTAAAAAATGTTGTTTTGGTCTATGTACCGTATTTATATTCATATGCACGTAGTAAAAAATGGTTCGTTCTATATTACAAACAGACACTCTAATTTTACTGGATGATTGCGATTTGCTTGATGATGATGCTCATTACAGTGTAATTTATTGGAATATTTAAAGATCCTACATTCCATGATATTCCCCACTTCGTCCGCGTGGAATTTAACTTTAATTGTTCTAAAATGTATGAATTTTTCTAAAATAAAATTAGCCTAAGTTACTCCTTATTACATCATATACCTGCTAAAAAAGTCCCGTCAAAGTCGGTTCAGCCATTTCAGAGATTAGACGGAACAAACTGACCGACAGACAGAAATTGTAAAAAAAAATATTTGGTGTATGTATGTAGTAAAAAATGCTTCTTTCAATATTACAGACAGACACTCCTATTTTATTTATATGTATGTATAGATAACACTGAGCTGTAATATACGTACGTATGTACGTATATGACTATTTGTAATGTTGGATCTAGCTGGTATTTACTTTTTAATTTCAATGTAGAATCTGACTGAATGCTCACTAAAGTAAAATTTATTGGAATATTTAAAGTTCCTACATTCCGTTACTTTGAATTTAATATTTATACATTCCTTTTTGTAATTTGCAGACTTCACGTAGCAAAATATTTCTGACAAAAATATGTTTTAACAACTCAATAAACCAATATTTCACGATAACTGTTGTACTGCATTCAATATATTGTGACTCAGTTAATTATATGAACCAGTAGACATTTTAATTAATAATAATAAATTTTTAAATTATTTAAAATATAACGTTTTTGAATTTAGTGTTTACCGCCATGATTACGGGTAAACTGAAAAGCAAAAATAAATAAAAAATGAATGTACAAAATATAATAATAATTTAATATAAAAATCATTTTAATAGTTAAATAACAATTGTTTGTTTTAATTATTTTTAATTCTTAAAATTACGTATGTTGACGGAGTTCCCGATATTTCGGTAGTGTTTCAATCGCCATGATCACGGGTGAACTGAAAACCAAAAATGTGTATAATTGCGGAAAATAGAGTCTAATGTACATTACAAGTGCAATATATATATATATTACTAGCTGTCCCGGCAAACGTTGTGTTGCCATATACATTAATAACGCTATAAAAAATACATACAACCCTAAATTTTCACCCTTCTAGCATCAACACTAGAAGGGCGAAAATTTAGGGTTGTATGTATTTCTTAATGACACATAATAAAAAAATATAAATAAAAAAATTTGCCCAAAAAATAAAAAAACAATGTTAGGGGTAGACATCCCTTATCACTTAGGGGTATGATTTTAGATAGTAGCCGATTCTCAGACCTACTGAATAAGCATGTAAAATTTCATAAAAATTGGTCAAGCCGTTTCAGAGGTGTATGGTAACTAACATTGTGACACGAGAATTTTATATACAGTAAGTATAAGATTTATTACATTCTTTGAATAATAAATAACCTTTAACAACCATTAATTAATATATAAATTACATTCTATTGTTACAGAGGCTAGGCAGCGTCACCAGTGAAACCTTACCCTACTTCCTAGGTTTACCCTTAGTTGGAGGGATGCAGTTCGCACCTCGAAATTACTCCCGGGGAGATATAGCAGTGGCAGAATCCGCTGTAGCTCTCCTCGCTGCGTTCGCTAAGACCGGAGATCCAACACCTCGGACTGATGAGCGGCATCACGACAATGCTGCATCCTGGCCAAGATATGAGCTAAATACACAACAATATTTGAGTATAAGTAAGTCAGTGCATATGCGTTATAATCGCAAAGATTTCAAAAACTACTAAATGGATTTTTTTATTGGTTTTTATACATGAACAGAGTAATTTTTGAGCAAGGTCTCGTGTAGGTTAATTGAAATTTAGCAGTTTGTATTCACACAAAATCGTTTTTTTTTGTAACACAGGGGATAAATGAGCATGCGGCTCACCTGATGGTAAGTGATTACCGCCGCCCATGAGCACCCGCAACACCAGGGGTAATGCAAGTACGTTGTCGGCCTTTTAAAAAGGAATAAGCTCTTTTCTTGAAGGTTTCAATATCGTATCGGTTCGGAAATACTATTGCTGGAAGGTGATTCCACAATGTGGTTGTGCGGGGCCAAAAGTTTCTAGAAAACCGCACTGTTGAGGACCGCCATTCATCCAGATGATCAGGATGGTATTTCAGTTTCTGGCGGGTGGTACGGTGGTGAAACTCAGCAGCTGGTATTAATCCGAACAATTTCTCAGAACACTCCCCGTGATATATGCGGTAGAAAATGCACAGAGATGCAATATCTCGCCGCAAAGCCAATGGGTCGAGTCTGTCACATAGACGTTGATTACTAATCATTCTGGCTGCTCGGTTCTGAATGCGGTCAAATGGAAGTAGCTGGTACTGTGGAGCTCCCGCCCAGAGATGAGAACAGTGTTCCATATGCGGCCGGATCTGCGCCTTGTATAATTGCAAGCGATGGGCCGCCGTGAAATACCGTCTCACTCTACTGAGCACACCAAGCTTTTTTGAGGATATTTTAGCCTTGACCTTTCTATGTATAATATCTATGTACTTGTATCAGTCATCTAGTACCTGAAGAAGATTTATTTAAAAAAAGAGCATCGAGTTTCAAATTCATCATCATCATCACAAGAAGAATGAGTAAGTTTCTTACTCATTCTCCATGTGATAAGTGAACATTCAAAATGAGTAGCATCTTAGTCATAATATAAATGCTAATATTTGTGAGTATAGATAATAATAATAATAATAATAATAATCTTAGGACCATTCTACAAGCTTTAGATAGCTTAACTTGGGACTAGATGGCGCTGTGTGAATTGTCCTGAGATTATTATTATTTCTAAACTTCAAAAAAAAATCTCATTTCCCCTCTTAAGGAGAGGAGATGGCAACTTACCGCCGGCAGAAGCACAGTCGGCCGGGGTTCAAGGCCAGGGAGAGAAACCGGCGTACAATGCGGGCAGAATCTAAATATTATTATTATTATTATTATTTCAACTGTAATAGATCTATAGTAAATTTACAAAAATTAAAATAATTTTTGTAAATTTACTATATGTAGATCTATTACAGTTCAATTTATTACTAGGTACAAAACTACGAGTGAAAAGCCACTATCGCGGACACAAAATGGCGCTGTGGCTGCACCTAATACCTCAGCTGCATCGACCTGGAGCGGCACCGAGGCATCACCAGTTCCGTTCCATACACCCTGACATGTTTGCTGGTAAGTGTTTAGTTTCTATTATGTTTCTACGATGGTCGCGGGTTCGTCGTGTATGAAGAATATATATTCCTCGCACGGCACAAACATTTGTATTCATGAGTATGATTGTTTGTATCGCTCTGGGTGTTTTCTATGTATAATATGTATGTATTTACAAAAAAAAATATCTATGTGTTTGTATCAGTTATCTAGTGCCCATAACACAAGCTTTAACTAACTTAACTTGGGTCTAGATGGCGCTGTATGAATTGTGCTGAGATTATTATAGATTACAGATTATTTATATTTAATCAGCAGGATAAAACAAAAATTTCTAGCTTCTAGCATTAGAAATGACAATACTTCCATACAACCATTCAACTCTCCTTTCAACCCCTCACAATCTCTTACAACTCATTTTACGTTATTAATATTTAATTATTTATTTTGTAACATAGAAAACACCCAGACAGACAAAATAATCATACTCATCAATACAAATATTCGCACCGAGCGAGGAATCAAACTCGCAATCTTCTCTTAAACACATTCTTTTTAGCGCTTACATTGCAAACACTGGCTGAATCTCACTAGATAAATCAAAATCATGTACTACAGTATTGTACACCTCAAAAGGGTCGACAAAAAAGTCTAGGATGGTACACGTCTATCTCTTAAGGATAACCCACAATAACCATTTGTAAACCAAAATGTAAAGGATAAATTACATTTTACGGGAAAAAATGGCTTATTATATATATAATTTTTATACAATTAAGTACCTTACATACATTGTCTATTTAATATAAATCAATATGGGCCTTTACAGAATGTAATTCAAATTAATATATCTCAATTATATGTCGCTCTATCAAGAGTAACCTGTAATCAAAACATGTTTAGTACAAACATAATATCTAATAACAATAAAGCTATAAACATCATTCATCATTATTTATATCCCCCTCCGATCGATCCCCCGTCCAATTCAAACGGGGATCGATATTACGACGGCCTGAGTTGAGGTTCGAATCCCTAGCCCTCAGACTAAAGTCGTATCCGTCAGGCGGGAGTTGGCCTTCAGCCGCTCCATAAGTCCTTCCGCGGGTTTGGAGTGCCATCTGAACTCGCCGATCGTCCGGTGAAGCTGTAAAGGCCAGTTGCGGCAACAGTATTAGAGTAGTCCGAAAAAAAAACGTTGTTTATAAAGACATTCTGTAGTAGGTATTATTTAGTATCAGAACTTCACCCGTGAGAAGCCGGAGCGAGTGGCTAGTCGGAAATAAAGCGATTAAATCGCTGTTATTAATGAAATGTTAGATCTGTATTGTGTATATCAAAAACATACTGTAATTACCATATAGTAATTTTAAGTAGTTGGGACGTGGTCGAGTGGAATGAGTAGTCATGCTCACTAAAATGTCCAGACATGCGGCGGCGTGGTGGGCCGGAAATGTCATTTATAACAATATATAAATATCGTCGAGCGCAGTGATGGCTGGCTCATACGTCATACTCGTGAACGAGTGCTGCTTGTAGGGTCAGATCTGCTCTTATTACTACGATTGATTTAATCTTATTGTGTTTTTATATTTGAACCTAATAAATTAGTTCTAGTTGGTAGTTTGTATTCACACGTTTCTACTTGAAAATGTGAACTTATAAGGATTATTTAAATATAGAACACACAAGTTTCTTGTGATGAAACAGCTTTGAATAACCGGTAGATTTAAAAAAAATTTTGACTATTCAAAAGTGCATAAATTAAGTTTATTTGAATAAATGTTTTTCTATTCTATTCTATTCTATTGTATAATATATAATTACTTCCACTTCGAATATAGTTACCAATCTTACCCCAATTAGAGGCAATACGTACAATTTCAATAATGGAGATAACTATTGTATTATCTGTGCAATTCAAATTGGTGGTTTTAGTGTTGCCATTTAAATGGAACACGTCTTGTTATCCACGGCCATTAGTGCGATTTCCCACCCCTCTGCGTACGGAACACCCTCATTAAACGTTTCCAGTTTCCCCCTTAATAAATGTTCTGAAACACTATCGAGTGGGGACTTACGTTGACGCGCCCTCATTCACGGGGGCGAGTTCTTAAAATGAAATGTGTTTTATCTCATTTATTTTATTGCTAGCTACTCGCCCCGGCTTTGCACGGGTATCTATACAACATATATAAATAAAATTGGAGTGTTTGTTTGTAATATTGAAATAACCGTTTTTTACTAAATGTATATGAATATTTATATCGTACATGCATTAAAAAAACACTTTTTACAATTTTTGTCTGTCTGTCTGTGGGTCTGTTTGTTCCGGCTAATCTCTAAAATGATTGGACCGATTTTAACGGGACTTTTTGGCAGGTAGCTCATGTAATAAGGAGTAACTTAGGCTACTCTTATTTTAGAAATATTCTTTTATTTTAGTAAAATAAAGTAAAATTTATATATATACATATATAATTCCCGCAACTTCGTCCGCGTGGAATTATATATGTATATATATAAATTTTCCTCTTGAATCACTCTATCTATTAAAAAAACCGTTGAGTAGTTTTAAAGATTTAAGCATGCATAGGGACGGACGGACAGCGACAGCGACTTTGTTTTATACTATGTAATGATAATGATATAGTCAACGGGTTCAGTAGTCTAGCGGTTTAGTATATAGCCTTATGATGGTAGTGTCTTCGATTCTTTGTACAATGTAATTAATTAATTATATAATTAATAAACTAATTGTACTAAAACAAAAATTTTAGCGGACATCGTTATAATTTATTTTTCATACTGCTTTCTTGATATATGATAGCGTAGCGGCTTTTGTAGCGATTGCCGCATGCATCCTCATGTAAAGTGCGAATACTGTAACTACCATATAATAAATTTAAATAAGTAGCTATGACGAGGTCGAGTGGAATGAGTAGTCATGCTCACTAAAATGTCCAGACATGTGGCGGCGTGGTGGGCCGGGTCATTGTGCTCCCTAAAATATAGTCGACCGCAGTGATGGCTGGCTCATCCGTCATACTCGTGAACGAGTGCTGCTTGTAGGGACTGATCTGCTCTTATCACTACGACTGATTTAATCTTATTGTGTTTTTACATTTGAGCCTAAATAAATTAGCTGGTTGGTAGTTTGTATTCACACGTTTCGACTTGTAAAATGTGAACTTACAAGGATTGTTTAAAAGAGCAACACACAAGTTTCTTGCTTATTGTTCTTGTGATGAGACAGCTTTCCGAATATAAGGTAGATTTAAAAAAAAATTGTTGACTATTCAAAAGTGCTTAAATTAAGTTTATTTGAATAAATGATTTCTTTTCTATTCTATTCTAATGGTAACTGTTCGTGCTGATCTTTGCCTCATACTAGGAAACTATAGCACTTAAAAAAAAAGAAAGCGGATCACATGTTCGCATTGGCGCCACTATCGCAAGGTAGCGTGACATAAATGTGTGAAATTGTAAGAAAGTAATAAATCTACAAGCGTAGTATAGGCAACTATAACATTTATTTAAAAGGGCAACACGCAAGTTTATTGCTCATTCTTCTTGTGATGAGTCTACGTTCCGAATGAGCGATAGAATTAAAAAAATTACTATATTAAGTTTAGTTGATTAAAAATCATTTCTTTTATAATATTTTTGCATAAATTATTCTCAGTTAATAAACGGCCAAGTAATAATCGTAAATGAATTTGAAATTACTTTAAATTTTTCACTTCTTTTACGGAAAACTTAAAAATGTAGTAACTTCATATTTATACTTGAGTTATTAGATAAACCAGCATTCTGTCCGTACAATAAATCAAAACCGCAATCATTAATGAAAAAAATAAACACTATTTTAACATCTGCAAAGTTATGTTCAGGAATTGGGCCGTATTTAAAGCCCAAAATCAAGGATCTTCTTATTCTGTTGAGTCTCGATTTTAGCAGACTTACTACAATGTTGCCATGTTTTTTCAAAAAAGTTTCCGTAAAAAAATTTGGAAGAGAAAAAAAATTTTGGACAGTGTTGCCATATTCATTCTAAAAGATTTCCGCAAAAAAATTCAATATTCTCAGTTAATAAACGGCCAAGTAATCATCGTAAATGAATTTGAAATTACTTTAAATTTTTCACTTCTTTTACGGAAAACTTAAAAATGTAGTAACTTCATATTTATACTTGAGTTATTAGATAAACCAGCATTCTGTCCGTACAATAAACCAAAACCGCAATCGGAGCTCGTTCATCGAAACTTGATTAACGAATTCATTAATGAAAAAAATAAACACTATTTTAACATCTGCAAAGTTATGTTCAGGAATTGGGCCGTATTTAAAGCCCAAAATCAAGGATCTTCTTATTCTGTTGAGTCTCGATTTTAGCAGACTTACTACAATGTTGGCAACATTGTAGTAAGTCTGCTAAAATCGATGATTTTTCAAAAAAGTTTTCGCGAAAAAATTTGGGAGAGAAAATTGACAGTGTTGCCATGTTCATTCAAAAAGATTTGCGCAAAAAAATTCTATATTCTCAGTTAATAAACGGCCAAGTAATCATCGTAAATGAATTTGAAATTACTTTAAATTTTTCTCTCCTTTTACGGAAAACTTAAAAATTTGGTAACGTCATATTTATACTTGAGTTATTAGATAAACCAGCGTTCTGTCCGTACAATAAATCAAAACCGCAATCGGAGCTCGTTCATCGAAACTTGATTAATGAATTCATTAATGAAGCAACCGTTTTAACACAAAAATGAGCGATCGAATAAAACCCGCTGGATTACAGTTCAAGGAATTTGATATTAATTGTCTACGGGTATCTCAAATTCCACCATAATGAGCGCTATGTAAAGAATGGAGAATGGAGGCAAGGAAACAATGGCGCTATTGTGCCGATATAACGGGAATCTGTTCAGCAAACGGTTGTAACGAAACGCCGATCGTGGAAATTCAGCTTTTATTAATTACGTTTGTATAAAGGTTTCAGAGCTTCCTGCCGCGTACAT